ACTTAGATCCGAGTTGTTAGAGGAGAGAGACGTCGGTGAAGAAGAGGAGCGACGGAAGCGGAGGTTGCGATTGGCGGAGAAGGATATTGGTGGAGGATTTTGGCCTGTGGTAAAAGAAGCAAAGGGGAAGAGGAGGGCTGAGATTTTCCGGAAAGATGAAGAGGAAGGAAAAAGAAGGGTGTATGTTCAAGGAACGACTTATAGAAATTGGCTAGTCATTTTACTATATTTACAATAATGCCACCGTTCGTTTATTCTAAGCAGGTTCTCATGTTTCGGGTTCTCATTTGATTATAATATATATATATATATATATATATATATATATATATATATATATATATATAATGATTTTGTTGTTATTCATTAAAAAAACTTCTTACATTCCTACCAAAAATTTCCTTCTTATTTAATCTTCACTATATATATATATATATATATATATATATATATATATATATATATATATATATATATATATATATATATATATAAACCTCTTAGGAATAGTATAGTTGATGTTTTGGGATTCTAGCCACAATAGTTTCTGAAAGTGACAGTTTCAGTCCCTTACGCCTTGTTCCCGAGTTCTACTTAAGGAGATAAATGGGAGGATACGGAGGGGAAAGTGAGGGGTGTCGAAGGAAAATCGTGTTCCCTAGTTTCATTAATGGAAGGAAAGTGAGGGGAGGGGAAGGATTTTGGAGTCATATTTTCCTTCCAATTTTTCCTCCCAAATTAGGCGGATTTGGGAAGAAAGTGAGGGGAAGGAAAAATTTTAGTTTTATTTTCTTTTTCTTCCTAACTCGGGAACACAAAAACTTCAAATTTTCCTTTCATTTCTTTTCATTTCCTTCGAACTCGGGAACACGGAATAATGAATATTTTCCTTCACCTCCCTTTCTTTCCGTCAAAATTTTCCTTCCCTTTCCTTTAATGAATTTACAAAAAAACTCGGGAACAAGGCGTTATTGTTTGGTTTTGTTGAATTTTACCCTCTAGTTTTTTGAAACATAAGGACTATTTCTATACATAAGGACTATTTTGGTGATACGTGTTACACACCTACTTCCCTATTGGCTGCAGGTAATACGTGTTACACACCTACTTAAGCAACGTAGCAGGAGACTTTAATCCAATCAGACGACCACCGCCTTCGTCTTCACTTTATCTGTTGTTCACAATCGATCAGACACTCTCATCTACCCATCTCTTTCCAGATATCGCACTAGTTTCGCCCCTCATTCTCTAATCGATCGACATTCACTCTACAAATCGATTTACCAAAGTTCTATCTACAAATCAGAAGCGTCCTTGAAACAAGCTCTTTCTAAACCAGAAGCTTTTCATTATTATGTCAAAATTTTGGAAAGGGTTTTGGGCAAGTGGGTATGTTCTATTCCTTCTTTCGAATGAGTCCCTTTTTCTTTTTGGCTTTTGAAAGGGTTTTACAGTTGATGGCTATGCTATAGTGAACTAAAGACAAGAAAGTAGCGAAGAATTACTCTTTACTGAACTGGAGATAGGTAAGCAGCATCACACTTGGCTGTTTCACCAGTGAAATTTTTTTAAATGGCAAGAACCTTAATTAAGTTAAACCATTTTTCTATTGGAAATATTGAAATGGAAAACAAATAATTCGCAAAGAACAGTCTATTTAATTTTTTATGTTGTTGATTTACTCCTTTTTGAAATTATTTGCAGTTGTTGTGCTTGAATGTGATTTCCAAAGAAGAAGCTCACAAGAAAATATATCCAACGTAAGGTCTCTTTCTATAAAACCCTTTCTCCCTCTGTTCTTTTTTATATTTGTTACATTTTTGACAGATTTATGTTCCGCTTATCTTCTGAACGCGTCACTTCGGTAGGTTTATTGATCCGATCTTCGTTAATGATAATACAAATTTATAGAATGTGTATTGGCTGAATAAGAATGAATCTGAATATGTCTATCATGGCAATATGGTATAATATCATCAAAAACTCCATGACACTTACAATAGTACATTACATATAAATATAGGTTTGTGTGTGGCTAAAACTATATACTTTTCTATTGTATCTAGCATGTTTTCATGCTATAATGCCAAGGTTGTAGAACTCGTTACTCGGTACCTGTTCGGCCGACTACCGAGTTGCGAGTACTCGGGAGTGCTCGGGGAGTACTCGGATTCAGTAATTCATGTAGAAATATTTTTAGAGAAATTATATATGTCAAAATCATAAGTTAAAATCATAAGTTGATTGAAATATATAACAAAATTAGATACATGTGAATACACAAAAACTGAAAAACACACAATGGTCTCACTTCGTGAATAATTACTGAAAATTTAAGACATATATGTAGTAATAATCACATGTGTGTGTTTGTTAAATAATAAATCATTAAGTAAATTATACATATTAATCACCAAGTTGACCGAGTTTTACAAACTGCTTACTTCAGTAAATGGTCGATCGGGGAGTACTCGGGATTCTGTAACTCGTCTAGGTAAGGGGCCGAGTAGCGAGTACTCGGAGGAGTAATCGGCCAACTCGGCGAGTTTTACAGCACTGTATAGCGCCCAAGAAACGAAATTCGTTCAAATGGTTCCCATTATACTTATTAAATAAATTGTAAAGTCTACTTGAAATCCTTTGCTACAAGATTTTCTATGTTATTTGTTTTATTTTCTGCCTCCAGGACAAGTATGAATGCCAACACTGCTGTTGCGCCTGCACCAAATTTACCATCTGTTGTTACTGGAAAGACTGTTGAGGAGGTACCCATCCCTTAGAAATTTCTTATAATATATGTTTAACTTAATTTTTTTTTTATCGTTAAAAAAGATGCTACTTGACTACTATTCTGCCTAAGATACAAAGTATGTTGACTTACCTGTGATGATACAAAGATTTAAGTTGGTTGCTATTCTTGCTAAAAAAAATAAAGTATGTTCAGGTCCCTATAATGGTAGAAAAAATCAAGTTGGTTTTGGCTAAAAGATAAAATATGTTTCTTGTAATGGTATAAAGATGTATGTAGGTTGTTATTGTGCAGTTTGAAAAGCATTTATTTTCAGTTTCTTATTTTGTTAATAAGTGTTTTTGATGTTTGGTTAAAGATTATGAACGAAATAGAGTGTGGAGCTCCAGGAAAGAACCACAATGTTCTGGAAGCAAACCAAGATGTTCTTCTTAAACTTAAGGTGATTCATAGTCATACCTACCCATTTTGATTCTTCAACCGAAGAAGAGTGGAATACTTCATTCTATTGGAATAAATGAAAATTTCCTGTGTTGTTTTTACATTTGTTACTATGTCCATTAACTCATATTTTAGTGTATGGTTATAAAAATTACATAAACCGGATCTGTACAAGTTTTAATCACTCTATGCCACATCTGTGAACATCTTCTTTCCAAACAAACATTGTCCATATCCATCCAAACCAGCGCCAAGTGCGCGAGAAAGTTTCCTCTAGTTGTAATTAAATCATTAAAATTTCGACTCTTAGTATTTTATAATATTATGATTTGAAGTACTTAATTCCATGTTTTTTTTATACATACAACAATGCTATTAAGTTTCGACATTTCTCTTATTTTATAACCCAAATTTCTTTTACATTTGGATTCCATGACCTTAGTAAGCTTTTTTAAAAGGCTAAACAAATGTAAACGTTCTTTTACATTTGGATTTCAAGAATTTACATTACAACATCAAAACCATAAAAGTATTTAGAATTACTTGACTTTGATTGTCTTCCATGGAACCAACCCAATTTCCAATCACCATTGCAGAGGAGAGAAAGTATTAGAGAATAGAATATTAGTAGCATAGGGAAGAGATCACCGATCAACACTAATCGCTAGTGTATCGACTACGGAAGAGTTGTCGGTAGGGTTTTTTTATTTATTTTGTGTACGTTGACTTCGATTGGCCTTTTTTTTGTGTACGTCCCTCGCTCAAAAAATGTAATAAACTTTGGTTTTCCGGTCTGGTCAGGCTTAACAACCTATTCAGGTGCGGACCTAGGGATCCATGGTGGCACCGGCAACCCCTGATTTTTCCGGCTGCAGTGGAAATTTTTTCGAAAATTTTATTTTTTTTACTACCGTGCAACCCCTGACTTTCCCGTGCAACTCCTACTGTGAAATCCTACGCCCGTCCCTGAACCTATTACAAGTCCGGTCCGGTCCAAACCCAAAACCCGGTTATTGTAAACAAACAAAACCCAAAAACTGGCCCACCTATAAAAGTATCCGGTCCGGTTCAGTCCAAGTGACTATTCCTATTTTGAGGTGGCTTGTAACCCTAGACAAAATTCCTAAGACTGGTAGGTGTGGGCAACGCCCACACCCGGCGTTATTGGGAAAAAGACAAAAAAAACGACGTTATAAAATGTTATGGTGGTAACGGGGAGCAACGCGTAGGCTAATAACGCCTGATAACGAAGAAGGGGGGCGGTGTTCAAGTGTTATATCACGCAATAACGCCCTTTTGGGCGTTGCCCATACCCACCTCTCTAAGAAAGTTGATCTAAACAAGCTAGCTAGGTATCGATGTGGCGAATATTCTTTGCTCCCACTGGGTGCTCACGTGGAATTAAACCACAATATTTCTTTAAAGTTTAAACGGACCGGCTTAATGCTTTGTTTAATACTGTGTCAGCTCTTTGGTTACTTGTTGTTAGCTGCTGCTGGCTAGCGTTTTCCTTGCTAATTAATAACATCGCACGTTTCGAGAAAGCCTGTCCTCTCTTTTTGTCAAGCAATAAAGAGCATGGAATCAAGACACTTTAGAACCAACAAACCGACTTTAGCATAATTTTTGCACAAAGCAGCCAACAAGTCCTTCCAAAAAAATAAATAAATAAACAAGGCAACAAAAAAGTGTTCAAAAAATTGTTGACGTCTCAGTCATTTCTGCCAATAAAAATGGAGCAAATCTCAAAGTATACAAAGCACCAATACTTGTTTCAACCTCCCAAGAAAACTTCATTAATTCGCAAATCATGGCAAAACCTCATGTTCTAATCATACCTTATCCCCGCACAAGGCCATGTCATCCCTCTAATGGAGCTTGCTCAACGCTTAGTCGATCAAGAAGTCAAAGTTACAGTTGTAAACACCGAGGTCACTCACAAGCAGGTAACAAGCAATGCGTTAGAGAATGATGGTTTTAGTGATCTATTGCAGTCGGTTTCAATCCCTGATGGGTTAGAACCATGGGAGGACAGGAGTGACCTTTCAAAGTTGACCAGATCAATATTACAAATTATGCCTGGAAAACTGGAAGAACTTATAGAGACAATTAACAAAGAAGACAACAACAAAGTTACCTGTATTATTGCAGATGATTGCATGGGATGGGTCATAAAAGTCGCAAAGAAGATGGAAATTAGAAGAGCAGCCGTCTGGCCAGCCTCAGTTACTACGCTAACTTCCATGTTGAGCTGTCAGAAATTGATTGATGATGGAATCATTAACAACAATGGTGAAACATGCATGATTACACTTTTCATTAAGAATCTAGCTAAGAAGGTCGTTTTTAACCTTTCTTAATAAATATTTTATTTCAGGCATACCTCTAAATCAGCATATGATTAAGCTATCAGAAACCATGCCACCTATAAAACCAACGAACCTCTGGTGGACACGCTTTGAGGACTTGCCCACTTCAGAAGCTTTCTTTGAAGTTGTAAAAGAAGCAGCTGAAGCTTCCAGATTGACGGAATGGCATTTATGCAGATCAACTACTGAGCTGGAGCCTGCAGCACTTGGCCTCTTCCCCCAACTATTACCAATTGGCCCTTTGCTAGCAAGCAACCGACGTGCTGATCAAGTAGGTCACTTCTGGCAAGAAGACTCCACCTGTTTAGCGTGGCTCGACCAACAGCCACCATGTTCGGTCATTTACGTAGCATTTGGGAGCTTCACCATTTTCAACCAAACACAGTTTGAAGAATTGGCACTTGGTCTTGAACTTAGTAATAGACCATTCTTGTGGGTTGTGCGACAAGGCATGACAAAAGAGACTACAGCTGCTTACCCAGATGGGTTTGAGGAAAGAGTAGGCTCTCGTGGAAGAATTCTGAGTTGGGCACCTCAACAGAAAGTATTAGCTCATCCTTCTGTGGCTTGTTTTGTGAGTCATTGTGGTTGGAATTCTACTTTAGAGGGTGTTACAAATGGACTCCCTTTCTTGTGCTGGCCATACTTCGCTGATCAGTTTCAGAATGAAATTTACATTCGTGACATCTGGAAAACTGGGCTGGGGTTTGACAAAGATGAAGCAGGAATCATCAGAAGAGGAGAAATAAAAGGTAAGGTAGAGCAGCTGCTCGGAGACAATACATTCAGAGTTAAGGCCATCGATATCAAAGAGAAGGTTACAAGCAGTATTACAGAAGGCGGATGCGTACACAAAAACCTTTGCAATTTTATAGAGTGGATAAAAGAGAAAGATACAAATGTCAAGAATCACTTGAAACAATATGATATTATGAGCAAGAATCTTTAAACAAGAGGTGGGCATGGGCATATTTAGCTCCTTGATTTAACGTTCCATGCAAAGGTATACGTACCCTTTCATTTGTTTCCAATATATGTAGGACTGCACTTACTTTTTAGTCATTTAAGAAAGCTACCTTATTAAAGCTGCAATTACAATTGTAAGGATTTCCTAATTAATTAGGCTTGCATGCTTGGATCATATTGGCTATTCAATGTGCCGTTATAGTAATCTATGCATGGATTATTTTTTGGAATCCGTCTTTTATTGATTTAGGCCCTCTTTCCTTTTAATTGTAAACTTAAAAAGCAATGTCTTAAAAATTCAGATTCAGATCGTTTGTTTGCGTCTTATTTTTTACCTCTTAAAATTAAAAACACCTTTTAATTTTTCAGATACGGAACAAAGTCTGAATTAAAAAAAAAACGCATTTCTTTGTTTTGCCCTAAACCACACAATCGAACATAACCCGCCTCCTCTTCTCTTCCGTGCGTCTTCTTCCCCCTTCGCGTTTGCTTCCCTTCGCGTCCGCATATCTCCGACGACGCCGCCTGAAACGATGCTGCCCACCCCAACGTCGACGTCGTAGCACCCTTGCAACGCCGATGCCGCTTCACCTCTGCATATCTCGAAAACAGGTTCGTTCTCTTCTTCTGAAAATCGATTGTTCTTCTTATGTTTAAAGTCGAAAATCAAAAATCGAAATAAGTTCTTATGTTATGCTAACCAGTTTCTGATTTGTTCAATCGTAATCTATATTTTATGGTATGCTCGATTTTGATGTTATATGCTCGATTTTGATGGTATACGATCAAATTTGAATGTGTACAATGGATATGATGAAATTTTGATGTTGAATTTTTGATGTTATGCTTGATTTTTTGTACTCAATTGTTTATGTTCAATGTTTTTCTGTTCGATTATTATGCCGAAATGTTGTTGTTGAAATCATATTTGTGTTTGATGATATAGTGAAATCATATATGTTCTTGCTGTTATCATGAAATATGCATTAGTTTTGCTAATTGTGCATTTGTTTTGTTGAAGTAGTTGTTGAAAATGTGCATTTGTTTTGTTGAAGTAGTTGTTAAAAATGTGCCTTTGTATTGCTCAAATTGTTGTTGAAAATGTGTATTTGCAATGCTTAACTTTGCTAACACATGCATTTTTTTGTTGAATTGATCAAAGAAATGAGAGAAAATAAGGATAGGATTAGTTGGAAGGTTGAAGGTGTAGAGAAAACGTTTCTAGAAGCTTGTTTACGTGAAGTTACGGTCAATGGACGGGAAGGGAGTAGTTTGAAAACACTATCTTGGAGGAATGTAGCTGAAACATTAAAAATTTAACATAAATTTATTGCCGACCAAAAACAAATGAAGAATCGCTATGACTACATATAGTCAAAGTTTGGTGTTTTTTTGAAGTTAAAAAACAAAATCGGCAATATGTACAATCCAACAACCAACACCTTCAATCGTTTCAAAGAAGAATGAGAACTAGAATCGGAGGTATTTTGTTTAGTTATAAAAAATATATTATCATGTTTAAATAATAAAATGTTTTTTTCCAAAAAGTCAAACAAACATGTGGATTCTTTGAGACGCACGCCACTACCGTACCCCGACCTTTGCACACAGTTGTTTGAAGGCGCGACTGCGACAAATATTCATACTTGGGGGCCAACTTCTACCCTTCCCCGTCCTACTCAAGATTCAAGTCACTATACTTTGCATGACTTTGATGACATCGATTGCACTCAACAAGAAACTATAGGTCTCAATGAGGAGTCCGCCGCACAATCAAAAAAACAAAAGACTACAGATACGGCAAATAGTCAAAATAAAAGTAAAGATAAGGGTAAAGATGCATCGAATTCAAGATTGCTTGAAATTGGGGAAGATATTGCAACAGTTGCTAATATATTTGTGGAAAAGCATGCTTCTCCATTTTATATTACTGATTTTGGATCAATACGTCTTTCTGGGAGTTGGTATAAAATGTGGAAACAACAAAACTCAAAAATTCAAGATACGGCAACAGGAAACGGATACGGAACGGAAACCGAAAACGGCAAAACTCAAAAATTTAAGATACGGATACGGCAGAGATACGACAATATAAAAATATGAAAAAACTTATATATATATATATATATATATATATATATATATATATATTATATATATATATATACACACACACTAGGTGTAAGACTCATATATTACATGAGTTCATTAAAAAAAATTAATGTAAAGGTCTAAATATTTAAGAACTTTGGATTTATAAGAAAATAAGAAAAATAATGTGTGACAACCCAAAAATTTCTACCTTGTAAGTCAATCTAATCAACCAAAAGTCAGACTTATTTCTATTGCCTTTTAGCCTTGTTAAGGGTCATTCTAATGAGTTCTAAACCTAGTACACTTAAGGATTGAGTGTTTTGAAGTATTAGCTCAAGATCAGAAGGCTGCACCCGAACCAGAAAACCCATCAAAGGGTGCTCACGGCCGTGAACCCAAGGGTGGCCGTGAACCCCTCCCATATATATGCCTTTCTTCCATTTATTCCTCATTTCTTAACCCTTGGCCGCAAACACTCCATTCTCTCTCAAGTATCATAGTTCAAGAATACCATTTTCACTCTTTTCACCCTCTTTCCTTTGTATCTCTTTAGAATACAACTTAGGATCTTCAAACATTTTCCAAAACACCTAGATCTTCAAGTGTTCTTCAAGTTTGGGCCGTGAACCCTTCATGTGTTCATCATTGGGCCGTGAACCACTCATCAAGTTGGGTCGTGAACCATTCATCCATTTGGACTGTGAACTTCATTGGGCCGTGAACACTCCTTCAACCTCCTATCTTGCTTCTAGCACTCTTTTGGTGAGTTATCCTTGCATCCTAGGTTGTTTCTCAATCTCCTTTGTAGCTAGATTTGCTAATTACATCCCAAATATATGCCATTATATGTCATTTAGGACTCATTTGTGTCTCGGGACTTCATTCGTGGAACTTCTCATCCTTACTCGAATCTTCATTTGAATCACCCACATAAGGTGAGTTCATACCCCTATAATCAATCTTTTAAATGCTTTTAAGGGGGGGGGGGATACAAGTTGAACACAATGTTATTGTGTTAATATTTATCTGTGATAACCATCACATTAAAGGATTTCTTATGCTTTTGTAAGTGATCAAATCGATTCAAAAACTCTTTTAAAAGATGTTAGTTTGTTGTTTGTAAAACTTCATTCTTAAAATACATGCTTAACTCAATAGATAAACGAGTCTTTTCTACAAATCAAGGACAGTTCAAAAAAACATACTAGTAAACTATAATAGGTATAGTTTAGGGGTTCAGTTCATACTATAACTAGAACAGGGAGGAACATACTATAACTAGAACAGGGAGAAACATACTATAACTAGAACAGAAAGGAACATACTATAACAAGAACAAGATAACAATAATGTGAAACCACTACTTCACGGCATAGCAATACACTTGTTACGCCGCGTTTTGTAACCAGAGTCTCCTGGAGGGAGAGCAGGCATTGTGTGTATAGATCTATACGGGACTGACAATCCCGCATCCCGACTGTTCGCTACAGTTTGGCCGGCAGGCCAAGGGGTGACAAATGTCACATTAGTTTCGACACCAACAGGTCGTCGTGTTAAACACTAGTCAATCAGCATGGTTATAACCACATCACATTTTAACCTTAATTAAACTTATTGGTTTTAAGGTAGTTAGTGCTTCAGTAGTTATTTTATACAATACTACTGTATACTTTCATTTTCCCATTACATCCATATAGTGATATTCTCACATAAACGGTAATGCAAACTATTTTCTAGTAAAGATAGTCATAAAACTTGGGAAAACATACACTCTTACAAGAGAACAAACAAACAAAGCAGTCGAGTCTTAGTACATTCAGTTAGAAGAGAGTCTATAATGCTAACTTTATGATTCCTTAGTGGATACATTAGGGATATATATTAATCGGACCCGACAGACAGTAGGATGTGTGCTTTCCGCTTCATTTCCTGTTCCTTGTTTGGTTGTGGGCTTAGAGCAAATTCACACTGTAACGCCCCGTTCGAAAAGTACTTATTTATGAATTTCCGAGATCAAGAGTAAGGGCGTTTCGGTCTTTTGTGGGCAATGAGTTTCATTCGGGAAGGTTTCGGACCGGGGTATGTTGATAGAAGCGTAGGGCTTCTCTCCACCTTCGCGTGGATATAAAGTTCGTCGGGAACGGGCTTAGAATAAAGGAGTTATGACACTTTGAATATATTGACATTTATAGCCCTTAATGGGAAAAGTTGTCGAGGAAGGCCATGCATGCCTTTGGGACACGCGTGGGTACGCCCAGCGTAGGCTGGGTTACGCCCATCGTAATAGGGTGAATGACCGCGGGTGCAAGGACGCGTACGCCCATCGTACTAGAGTTACGCCCAACGTACGCTCAGAGTCTTAAAACCCTAATTTTAGGGTCAGCCACTATATAAGGAACATTATGGTTCCAACCCTAGCCTCCATATCTGCCCTCTTACTCTCAGAAACCCTAAGTAGCCGTTCTTCTTCCATTGTTGTGGATATTTGACCTTGTGGAGCTTAGTTTGGCAAAGGAAAGCTTAGAAGAAGGAAGAAGAGGTTGGAAAGAAGGAAACTTGGTGGCTGGAGCTTGTAGATCCGAGATAGCATCACCCTTTGCAACCACTTGAAGGTATAAAGCTTCTTGCTTGACATCTATTTTGTGTAGATCTATGTATGGTGAAGTTTTGACACCATTCTTGTCCCAAAAACCCCCATCTGGATGTATGATGTGTTTTGGTAAGATGAGTTGTCCTTTCAGACCATTAGAGAGGTCTTGAGTAAGAAAAATGAGGTCCCAATGGCTTCTTTGGTTGACCCATATAGAAGTAGGAAGGTCTTAATGGGTTAAAACCTTGAGTTGAGTTAAGAGCTTTATGGACGTCCAAAAGGATAAAAATTGAGACTTTATGAGTCCTAGGCCCTTTTGTCACTGGATCTAGCATATGGGCTTAAGTGCTTAAGCCATCAAGCACTTGGAAAGATTTTTGGGTACAGACGAGCGTACGCCCCGCGTACCAGAGGAGTACGCCCAGCGTTACGCCCTCTGTTGGGTTTTTGATTTTGGGCCTTAGGTGTGGATTGGCTGTTTATGGGCTAGGGGGGCTTGGGCCGTACTAAACATTATGGATTGGAATGATTTAGACCCAATAATTATTATGGACCTTGGATCTAGGCCCATTGGTGAGGTGGGCCCAATTAGTTAAATTGGCCCAATATTGGGTTTGCATGAGAATTTGGTTTTAGGTCTTGGCCCAATAAGAGGATGATGGACTTAATGAGTGTTGTGGGCCCTTGGCCTAGAAAGTCATGA